GCCATCGCAGATGAGCGCTGGTCACAGTGAAACGCGGGGTGCAGGGACCTGCCTCGAGCGAGTCTTCTGGTGCCACTTTCACTGCTTGTCCTCGTTCACGGACAAATCACATGCACTTCACACGGCACTGCCACATGCACATCTGCAGTGTGCGTCAGTGTAATAGCCGACGCACTGCCTGACCAGAGCCCCCACGGCTGGCGGGGTGCTCCGTGCCCGTCGTCCACAGAGCTTCAGGGCTGGGCTGAGGTGTAGCCTCACGATGCAGCCGGCGCCACGGAAAGGGCACCAGGCCGCTGGCGTCTAAGTGACCACTCGTGACTGCGGACCAGGCCGTTGGCGTCCAAGTGACCACTCTGGACTGTGGGTGACCCTGACCGTGGCTCCCCTCCTCTCCTCGCCAGGAGCTGGTGTCAGATGCCAACCAGCACGTCAAGTCGGCCCTGGCCTCGGTCATCATGGGGCTGTCCCCCATCCTGGGCAAGGACAACACCATCGAGCACCTCCTGCCCCTCTTCCTGGCTCAGCTCAAGGACGAGGTGAGGCTCCCGGCTCCCACTCAGGGCTTGCGTGGTTGGCAGGACCGCTCAGGAGGCCCGGCCCCCTTGGCCCCCTCATTCTTTTTTTCACAAGTGGGCTCCGTCCTACCTCCCACCCAGATAGGGGCCGGCGCCCCCACTACCTGCAGACACCATCCGCCTGTGTCCCCCCAGCCCCGCATGCCAGCAGGGTCCTCCAGCCAGGGTCTGTCCCTCCTCCGTGGTGTGTTCAAGTCCTGCTCTGCACCTGTGGTTGTGCCCCACTTTACGTGAGCGTGGCTGGGTTCATGAAGGGCTGAGACCGAGTCACCACTTCCTGGAGGGTGAGACTCAGACCACCCGCCCTCGCCCTGCCTGCCCTGCTCGGCGTTTCGTGGAGGGCCTGGTTTGCCGCGAGGCTGGAGGGCGGTGTTCAGGCGGCAGGGGTACTGTGTGCCGTGGAGGGACCATGTGGTCTGGGGGCCACTTTGCCAGCTGCCCCTCTCGTTTTGCCTTGGGATGACCTGGCAGGTGATGGGGCTGCTGGTGGACCACTTGTCTGTGCTTGCAGAGGCCCAAAGACGCAGCCATTCAGCCAGCCCCTCTCTGTCGCCCCTCCTGTGTGTGGGCCTCCGACACCACGTGATTGGGGGAAGTGCATGAAGGTGGGAAGAAACCCTAAGAAAAAGCATCGTGTCACATTCCATTTCACCCAGAAACCTCATTGTTAACTTGCTGGGGTCACGGCTCGCTTTTCTCGAAACATGAGGTCATCGCCGCCACCTTTGTCTTCAGAATTGGTGTGCTGCCCGCGTCACCTTCAGGGAGAGGACAGAGCTAGTGTCCCTGTCGTTGTCCACACGGGGTGCTGTGTGTGGGTGGGTCCTGCCAGGTTGGCAGCACCAGCTTCACCATCTGCCGTACTTGAGCCCCTGTCGCAGCTGCTGGCCAGTCCGTCCTGTTGGACACCTTCCTCTTTTTTAGTGACCACGCATGCTGTCCTTCCCCAGGGACTGGCCCTCCGAGAACACAGAGTGTCAGTGTTCTCGATTGAGAGGGGCGCCCTGGCCACACCTTCTTGATCTCCTGGTTCTTCCACACGGCATTCGAGGGGCGGGTGTGGTCCAGCCGGGGGGCTAGACTCAGCCTCGACGCCTAAGCCCATCTCACTGGGCTGATGGACAGTGGAGATCTTTGTAATTTATCTGCTCTAAAAACACTTGGAACAAAACATTTGCCAGTTCAGTAGTTGTGATGGTTCCTGAGGAAGTTAAACACAGGACTGTTGTAACCAGAACTTTTGCTGGAGCTGCACCATGTTACCGTCCCCCTAGCACTGAACGGGGGTTCCAGTTTCTCCACATGCTCGCCAGCACCTCGTTTTCAGTCCCATTAGGCCTTAATTCAGTTGATTCTCTGAAGAAGCTTGCAGAGCAAGTGGGTTTCCAATTCATCAGTTCATACCCGTTTTGACTCACGACGTTCCCACACGTGCAGCACTCGACCCGCCTCCTCCTGGGGTTTCCTGTTTCTCTGGGTCCTTTCCTGGCCCCTCCTGCCCCCTGAGCTCTCTCGCTGGGCAGATGCTGCCCTTACGGTCTCTCGAGTTGGTTGGGCCGTGGAGTACGTGCCTGCCTTCCCTGGGGGTGGTGATAGCCTGATCTCGTGGGGCTGCGCGTGGTTGGATCATGGTTTATCCCTGGGGAGACTATGATTCCAGGCTTGAGGGGTACCTGAGGGCTATCATTCCAGGGGTTCCACCAGTCTCTGTTAGACTTGTAAGCCTGGTCTTTATGACTTTAGAGCTTTGTTCACGTCTCTGTCCACTCCACCCAGAACCTCCTTTTGTGATTGGTTGAGACCTGTCCGTGGTGGTCACAAGGCACCATCTAGTGTTTTCTGGCCTCAGTGGTGGAGGCCGGGCCTCACATGGTCCACTAGCCTTTGGATTGATTGGTCTATACGTCTTTTGTTCACATCTCTCCCACTCCACCCAGAACCTCCTCTTGTGTCCGGTTGAGACCTGTCTGTGGTGGTTACCAGGCACCGTCTAGGGTTTCTGGTCTCAGCGATGGAGGCTGGGCCTCACATAGCCTACTTGTCCTTTGGACTGACTGTTCGTACGTCTTTGATTCTCTTCGCACTCCTGTGCTCTGGTGTGGGAGAGACCAGTAGTTGCACTTGGGCCAGTTAATTTTGAATTCAAGAAAGTGAGTCCCTCGGGTCGGTACCACTGTTGGGTTTGTCCTGTGATGGTGGGAGGGGGTGTACCCCATCCGCCCCGCCCTGTGATGGTGGGAGGGGG